ACCTTATCTCTGCTCCCATCTCAGATTTTTTAATTTGCATGGAAGATCATATATATGCAGAAATTTGCACGTGCAATAATTCTCACCAAGAGAGCACACCCATGTAACCAGCGCCTAGATCTAAAACATTACCACAACCCCAGAATCCTCCTCCTCCCCCTGCAATCACTGTCCCCCACAAAGGTAACCACTACCCTGACTTCCAGCACCATGGTTTAGATTAACTTGTCTATGCACTACATAGAAATGACATTAGCACACAATCGTGTTTCTGTTACCTTTGGTTCAAATTTGACCTATTTCACACCTGGTAACTTTTCCTCCTCTTCCTCCTTTTTCAGTCCTTTTTATTTATTTAGAGACAGGGACTCACAAAGTCACACAGGGTTACTCAAACCATTTTAACATTCATACTCCAGTTATCAAAGTCTAAAGTTAATACTGTTATCTTCCTTCAAACAAGCAAACATACAAAAAAAAAAGAAAACCCACAGGGACCTTATAAGATTTTAAATCCAATCAGCCACCTCCAATTTCTATGCTGCTGTTTTTCCTTATTTTAGTTCTCCTCTGTTTTTATTTCATTTGCCTATTAGACTTTATTATTTTTCTTGTTTTTTCAGTAATAAAAAGAAAAAAAAAAAGTATTGATAGGCCCAGTAAGTAAGTGTTATATGTTCATGAGCTGGATTCTGGAACAATAAATCATTTTTTCTGACTACAGTGACTCCAGCTGCATTTCCTAACTGTGATGGGCTTCCTTCAGGGAGAAGGGCAGGTGGGGACACTGTCGCACAGAGGCAGAACCTCTTACATTAGCAGCTTGTTTTGATTGTTTTATTTTGTTTGAGGGATCATGGATTGAACCAAAGGGTACTTGACCACCGAACCACATCCTCAGTTTTTTTCATTTTTTTATTTGGAGACAGGGTCTCACTAAGTCACTTAGGGCCTCGATAATTTGCTGAGGCTGGTTTTAAACTTGCAATCCTCCTGCCTCAGTTTCCCAAGTCACACCTAGCCTCAAGCCTTTTTAGATTTTAATTATTTTGAGACAGGATCTCACTAAATTGCTAAATTGCTGAGGCTGATCTCAAACTTGGGATCCTCTTGCCTCAGTCTCTCAAGTGACTGGGACCACAGGCATGTCCCATCATGCCCAGGCAGCAGCAGTGATTGAACAGCTAGCTGCTCCACATCTGCAGTGCTGGAGCCTCCCAAGCACCTGCCTTCTCCCCTATTTGTCGTGGGGTGGGAGTAGGAGAGTATCAAAGCAAACCCAGGTAACAAAACCTGAGGCTCAAATTTCCATAGGTCTTTGGCTGTTCTGGGTGTTGTAATGTGTGACAACAGGTTGCTTTGTGGCAGTGCTAAACCTGGGTACTAGGGACATCTGGCCTTCTCCAGCCATTTCTCATACCAGCTTTAAGTATCACCCTCTCAGATAGAGCTGAGCACCCTCCTGCTCACCCCACAGGTGAAGGACCCCATCCTCCACACTGAAAATTAGTTTTTTGTTTTGTTTTGTTTTTTGGGAACCAGGGATTGAACCCAGGAGTGCTTAACCACTGAGCCACATCCCCAGCCCTTTTTATTTTTTCTTTTGAGACAGGGACTCACTAAGTTGATTAGTGCATCTCTAAATTGCTGAGGCTGGCTTTGAACTCGAGATCCTCCGCCTCAGCTTCACCACCACACCCAGCTGAAGTTTCACTCTTTACCAGGGGCACCAGGCCCTGCCCACCTCCCCAGCCTCCCGAACTCTTCCCCCACGTCCCACATGGTGCTCGGGCCAAGCTGCACTGCACATATCCTCCAAGATTTGGCTGACTTCACCTACACACTGCTCACTGTGCCTGAAAGTCCCTCCTAGTTCTCCCAGCCAGCTCGGGTGGTGATTCTTCCCATAGGATCATGGCCCATGAAAGAAGTTGGGGCTCTTTCCCCATCTCCTGCATCTCCTGATCACACACATCCAGTCCCGTGCCCACTGCCACTTTCCATGCCAAACATCCTTACAGTTTGTGTGCTCCCTCCTGCACACCAGCCCTAAAACAGCTGCTCCACACCTGAAATGCCCAAATCTGCAGACATTTCCTCTGCTACAAAACGCTGTGAGTGAGTCCCAAAGCCTAGTATGGGGCCCGGCACTGAATGCACACTCAGTGACTTCAAGTTGTTACTTATTCTCACAAGAGATATCACAGACAGAAGAGGAATCCTTTGAAGCTTGTTCCTCCTGCAAAAGCCAGAGCTGGATGAAGCCCCTCTCCACCCAGATGCAGCCTGCAGAGCCCCCAGGCTGGAGAAGCAGCCAGGCCCAGGGCCTCCGAGCTCACTGCCTGCTTCTCAGAGAGGGTGGGATGGGCCGCATGGCCTGCTGCAAGGGGTTCACACCCCAGCCTCAGAGCCCTGCATTAAAAGAGGAATGATGAGGCTTCCCCCATGGATGTCACTTTTATGCTCACGTTCAGGACCCCCAAAAGACCACCAGAGACCAAGATCGATGTAAGCAGCTAGCTCAGTCCTCCGTGCACACAGCAACTGGTGACACTGAGAGGCCCCGAGCCCAGAGTTTGCAGCAGTTTTATACACTCTTTGGGGAAGGCAGGGCCTTCACATACATCCTAGCATCTCTTAGCAAATCATCACACACCGCAGGAAAATCATAAAACAACTCTAAAACATGATTAGCACATTCACTGGCGGGAACAAGTTGGGTAAGGGTGATTGGTTAGTACAAGAGGGGGATTCGTTTGAACTGATTGGTTTAAGCCACGAGGGGTGTACGTGCTGAACTACATGGTTTCCCAACATGTTACCAACCACCATAAACTACTGGGAGGGTCATCTGGCATCCTAGGTATTTTCCCTGTATCATGCTGATTGGTGGTAGTTGCTAGGGGGTTTCTATGGGTCCTCACCTAGCCTGACTGAATCAGGGACACCTAGCCTGCAGATCTCTCCTGTTATTAGTGGATAAACAACTCAGTAGGGTGGGTATGTGCCTAGGAGTGCTCTGTGGGTTTTTCCAAGGACAAGGGTCACCCCCCTTCCTTGGACAGGCTTTGCTCTGAGGTAGAGGCTGGTTTCTCAAAAATGGAGTCACATCAATTTCTCATCACGAACACTAATTGAGCTATGGTTAATATGAGGGTGGTTTGTATACCGAGATCCCTCACAGACTGTAAGAATTAAATTTGGGGGTTTTGCTGGATAAATATTTTCGGTTAAATATTACCAAAAAAAAGGGGGGGATCATCACCTTGTTGATGGGAATGGACAAGAAAAGACCAGCAGATGTCATAAAACCAGGCAGCTGGGCCTGAGGCCAGCCTGGCCTGTGTTTGAATGTGAATATGAGGTGACTTGGGACAAGTACTGAGCTCTCTGAGGTTCAATATCTTCTCCTGTATCATGGGGACACACGAACCATTTAGCAATGTTGTGACTGTTAGAAATACTGGGATGCCACAAGGAATCAAAGGCGAGCTCAGAAGTAGCTCTGCAAGGCAAACCTACTTCTACAGAAGTGCATACTACCCAACCTGGCAAGCAAGCCCACCTGGGCCACACCTGGGCCACACCTGGGCCACACATGGGCCAGTAATCCCCCTGCTCTGATAGCAGGAGCTCAGGGTTGCAATCTATGTGATTGGCTCATTGTAAAAATAGGGCGGGTAAAGGGAAGGGCTGTAGTCAAAATGGTTACAATTGGATTTCAAAATGGCTATGATTAGATCTTACATCCCAATTAAAGCTAAACACTATATTCCATTTCTTACACAATTAGTATATGAAATAAAGATGTGAGCTGGGTGTAGCAGTGCACGCCTGTAATCCCAGTGGCTTGGGAGGCTGAGGCAGGAGAATTGAGAGTTCAAAGCCAGCCTCAGCAAAAGCAAGACGCTAAGCAACTCAGTGAGACCCTGTCTCTAAATAAAATACAAAATAGGGCTGGGGATGTGGCTCAGTGGTCGAGTGCCCCTGAGTTCAATCCCCTGTACCCAATAAATAAATAAATAAATAATAAAGATGTGAAATACTTTATAGGATATCAATGAATAATATATTTTGTTACTGTTTGTAGTAATGAAAGCAGAAAAAATGCGAACCAGACCAGCTCAGACTCCTTGCTCCTAACCCACTCACTAATCAGTCACCAAGTGCCCCCTGCTGGATTTCTTTATCAGCCTCTGCACTCTGAAGCCTGTGCATGCTCATTACAGGTAACTCCTGGATTCGTTTAAGTTCCAGGGTCCCTGAAATAGGGGCAGTCTCTAAATTTGCTTCGCATCCTGGAGCCCCTAGAGCTCCCTCTGCAAGAGAAGGGGACCCAGCCCACTGCCCATGGACTTCCATGCAGGAAGGTGCAGGAGTGTCCTGCAGAACTATCAGTTTTGATCCCAGTTCAATCCACCAGCTGTAATCTTAGATAAAAGGAAAATTATGTCACTTGGGCAGATTTAATCTCTCCTTGTCCAAGACAAACCCTTCCCTGACCCAGGGATTTTCTGGGGCAGGGCAGAAAGTCCTAGAGTTAGAAGAGAAAAGGCCATTACGAATCACCACAGGGACAGAATGAGGCCAGGAGCAGGGCAGATGTTTGCCCCAGACCACCAGGAAACAAGGTTGAGCTGGACTAGATCTCTGGCCTTCCAACCCCCAGGCAGGAGCCACAGGCAGGGGTGGGGGCCCAGGCCATGTCCTTCATTACCTATTATTGTGCTCAAAGGTCATTTGGGGGGTGGCAGGATTTTCTGCTTGACCTGTTAAGATGCAGGGAGGGTGAGGGGAAGAGGAGGAGGGCGGGGAGGGAGGAGGGACTTAAGGAGCTGTCTCCAGGCTGGGACATCCAGGACTGCAGGAGCCGGCCAAGTCTGGAGGAGCATTAGGTGCTGTTGGATCTCCTGCCCCCCACCCAATCCCAGCTGTGGGGAGTCTCAGGGACTCTGGGCTGTGAGGAGTAGGGAAGGGAACACTCTCTAGAAAGGGTCAGCATGGCCTGCAGGAAGAGCTGCTCGGAGCATCAGACCAAGTGGGTCCTTGCCGGCAGTGCCAGTGTGGCTCTGCTGTTCACCATTGGGATGGTGCTGGGCTTCACCCTACAGCGGGGCACTCAATCAGGTAAGAGTCATCCTGCAGCCACACAGTTGGTCTCCCCATTGCTGTCCTTCCTTGTTCCCACCAAGGCTCTCCTACCAACAGCTGATCAGATCTTTTCCTGTCCCTTATTCCAACTAGACTCACCCCCACCCACAGCTCTAGCTGCCTCTTCCATACCCCAACCCTACCAAGACTTCAACCCCAGTGGAGGGTCCCACTGATTTTCTTTCCCCTGGTCAGTTGCCTGAAGACCACCAAACCTCAGCCTTCGGCCCAGACCTCCCTCCTTTGCCCTCAGATGGGTACTCCCTCTTGGGAATTTTGTGGGCTCCTCAAACTCAACAGTCTGGGCTGAACTCAGCCTCTCCCTGTCTCCCTCCCTCTCCTTATCCCTTTCTTGGTGAACCTGGGGGAGTCTCCACATTCCCTGAGCCTGGTGCCTATGCCCGGCTCCTGAACCTTGAGGGCTCTGCCTTCCACCCTCTACCCTCCCCGCAGCCCCGCCTCTGAGACCTCTGATCTCCTGGACCCTGCAGTGGCCTCCCCTTCCTACGAAGTCCCTCTGCCACTAGCTTTCTCTTGCCAGTACCTGTCCCTCTCTGCAGCCAGGGAGCTTTTTCTTTTCTCTTTTAATTTATATATGACAGCAGAATGCATTACAACTCTTATTACACATATAGAGCTCAATTTTTCATATCTCTGGTTGTATACATAGTATATTCACACCAATTCATGTCTTCATACATGCACTTTGGATAAATAATGATCATCACATTCCACCATCATTAATTACCCCATGACCCCTCCCTTCCCCTCCCACCCCTCTGCCCTATCTAGAGTTTGTCTCTTCCTCCCATGCTCCTGCTGTCTATCCCACTATGAATCAGCCTCCTTATATCAAAGAAAACATTCAACATTTGGTTTTTGGGGATTGGCTAACTTCACTTAGCATTATCTTCTCTAACTGCATCCATTTACCTGCAAATGCATGATTTTATTCTCTTTTATTGCTGAGTAGTATTCCATTGTGTATATAGGCCACATTTTTTTATCCGTTCATCCATTGAAGGGCATCTAGGTTGGCTCCACAGTTTAGCTATTGTGAATTGTGCTGCTATAAACATGGATGTGGCTGTGTCCCTGTAATATGCTGTTTTTAAGTCCTTTGGGTATAGACCCAGGAGAGGGATTGAGCCAGCGACCTTGTTCTAAACAACCCACTCACTCCCTGCCCCCAGGACCCACCCCACTCCTTTGCTGGCATCTAAGACCTTTCACCACCTGCCTGTAGCCCTCTTCTCCAGCCTTGCCTGGCCTGTCTCCATCTGTAGCAGGCCAGGGGCCATTCCTTTAAACAACCATGCTTTCCTGAGACCAAGCCTTCATGTCTGTTGTTCTTTCTGTCTGTTCTTTCCCCATTTTCTGTCAAACATATATCCATCTTCAAGGCCCCTTGAATGTCCCCTTCTCTGTGACCTCCCTCTCTCTGCCCCAGGCAGCACCAGAGCCTCCATGGCCCCAGAATCCTGTGCCTTTCCCTCTCTGGCAGCACCAGGGACCGTGTGCCTCACAGTCCCCTGCAGCACATGGTGGGAGTCCAGGGAGGGTTGGGGGTGACAGGTAAGTACCTTGGGCTGAGGCTAGGATGGACAGTAACAGCTCCTGGCATTCACTCCAGGCTGTGAGCAGGACGTCTGCCGCCCCAACGCGGACATGCTGGAGTACCTGCTGAGCCTGGGGCAGATCAGTCACCGGGATGGCCTGTCAGTCACCTGGTACCACGCAGCCAACAGCCAGGAAGAGACGAAGGCTGCCCTGAGCAGTAAGTCGAGAGGACAGGGGCGGGGCCGGGGGGGGGGGGGTGCGGTGGAGGAGAGGAGGAGGGCAGAAGGGCGGCCGAGAAGCCATGGTCACTGCGGCCTTAGAATGGCCATCTTTGTGTTCTTGTCATACTCCACCTGGGGAAGTGGGGCCCTGGACACTGAGGAACTGGCTCCAGGTAGTGCAGCTGATGAGCTCCAAGCCTGGGATTCGGAGCAGACGTCTGATTCCAAAGTCACCACTGTACTGCCCTCTGTCCCTTGGCCTGTCAGATACCCACTGTCCTCCTAAGGAAGCCTTTGCCCTCAAGGTCTAAGGAAGCCAGAGATCTGAATTGGAATTCTGGATCTACTAAAATGAATGGTGAACACTTGAGCAGCTTATGTGACTCCTCTGAGTCTCAGATGCAAAATGATTATGGGTGACCAGTCAGCTGCCACTCAGGTGGGACCCACATATCCACATCAGACAGGGGTTCTCCAGGGAACACTGTGCAGCCCTCTTCATGGGCACCATTTTATAGAAGAAAAATGGAGGCTCAGAGAAGTCATGGACTCACTCTAGGCTGTGCTGTCAGAAAGTGGTTAGGGAGTGGAGGAGCCCGGGGCGGCAGCCCCACAGGGCATACCCAAGCCACTGTACTGTGCTTGATCCCTGGGTCAACGAGGAAACACTCTCTGTCCTTCAGGACATTTGGGAAGCTCAATAGAAAATGTTCGTCGAAGTGCTGGTGCTCTAAGCTGTAAGAGATGAAGTCGATGGTCCTCAGACTTGAGCCCGCTTCAGAAGACACAGGGTGCCAACCCGACCCCCGGGGTTTCTGACTCAGTGGTTCTAGGGTGGGGCCCGAGAAGTTGCCTCTCCCACAAGTTCCCAGGTGAGGTTTATGCTGCTGGACGCAGGACTGCACTTTGAGAACTGTGGCCCAAGAAAAACCTTCCAATTTCAGATGAGGAAACTGGGGTGCAGAGTGGGAGAAGGTCTTATCCAAGGTCACACAGTGGGTCTGAAGCAGAGTGAGGCCTGGAGCCAGCCTCTAATGCCTGCAGGCTCCCCACACCTGTGGGCTTAAGATTAAAGCCTGGGAAATGCTTGATGAATGAATGAATGAGGAGAGGTGGGTAGGGAGGACTTTCCAGATGAGGCAGGCTGGGTGGGGAAGTTTGTGGCTGCTCCCAGATCTTCTCTGTCCCGGAGGCTAATTGCTAGACCTTGGTGACTAGGAGGACAAAGAGCCCTCTGCCCTGACAGAGATCCAAGCCAGAGAAGTACTCATCCAAGGAGAAAAATACTGAGGGAATGAAAGAAGGACCTGCCACCCCCAGGTTCTTCCCAGCTCAGCCCTGACACTGGTAGGAACCATCAAGGCCCCACCAAGGCAGGACCTTAGTTGAGAAGATAGCCAAGCGCCCCAAGCAGGCCCTGCCACCAGCAGGGAACTGCACAGGCTCCCCTTAGCCTAGCTCTGGGGGTCCAGAGAAGACCTCTCCTCCTGAGGATTCTGCCAGGTCCCTGCGGTAGACCTCTGGAGGAGGGTATTGCCTTCCTAAAGGGGCGCTGCTATAGAGGTGGGCTGGTGAAACCATCTTGAATGTAACTGGTCATCTGTGTGGAGAGGAGACCCGGAAGGCAGGCAGAAGTGGGCTCTAATTTTCCCTTGGCCATTTATCAGCAGAGTGATTTGAGACAAGTGACTTAGCTAGTTTACAGCTAAGCTCCCCACTCTGTACAGTGTAGACCCGTAAGGTGATCATTTATCATCCAAGCCAGGGCACGTTTGGCTTCGAACGAGGTCAGGATTGGGAATTATGCTGAGCAACAGAAATAAACCAGGGGGTCCCAGGTTACCTTAGGTAAGTGAGCTACTCTGTGCAAATAATAATTAACACTTGGTGAACACTAACCAGGGGCGTTTTACTACTTAATTCTTATAGATGAGGTAACCAGCTCAGGGGTCAGAGAAACTGCCCAGGGTTCCACAGCTGGCCAGTGTGAGGGCTGGGGCTGGAAGGCAGTGGTGTGGATTGGGGGTCTGCACCCCCAGCCACCATGCTGTCCCTCCTCAATGCCTAACCCTCCTGGCCCAGGGAGGGTAGGTGAAGGACTTGGGAACTGCAGGTCCCTTTCCCTTTGGAGAGCAGCATCCTTCACTCTGATGGCAACCCCCTGAGGACCCGGGCTCCTACTGTGGCCACAGGAACCCCATCCTGCCCTCGTCTCTCTTGTCCCTTTTTGTTCCCACTCCCCAAGCAAGACAGCCCTTGGAAAGCATGACCCAACTTTTTTTTTTTTTTTTTTTTTGGTGGGGGGAGGATACCAGGGATTGAACTCAGGGGCACATCCCCAGCCCTATTTTGTATTTCATTTAGAGACAGGGTCTCATTGAGTTGCTTAGTGCCTCACTTTTGCTTAGGCTGACTTTGAAGTAGTCATCCTCCTGCCTCAGCTTCCCGGGCCGCTGGGATTACAAGAGGTATGTCACCGCTCCCAGCCATGAAACAATTTTTAAGGGAGAAGATTTCTCAGGAAGAAGCTGATCCAGGTAGTGATTACGAGGAGGTCAGTTAGGTTCAGAGTGGAATTTCCACCAGTACTTTGTCCCATCTGCTGAGTATTTGTGTGGACCCTACCCAGGAAGAAGAATGAGAAATGAGTCAGCCATGGGCTGTCTTTAAGATGCTCCTGGGGTCTCAAGGGAAGGTCACTGGGATGCAGAAACATGGCTCCCCCAACCCTACCCTGCATCCTCCTTTGGCACCTCTACTTTCACCAGGCCAGAACTAGCCCCAGTGAAATAGGGGAGGGACCTCGGTGCTCACCTCTGAAGCTACCCTCTTATCTACCAGGTGCACCTTGGGCCTGGCTTCCCTAGGCCTCATGGAGCCCCAAAACCTTTGACCACTCTCACTGCATTCCCAAGTGGCCAAAAGTTAAGATACAAAAGGACTTTGTGTTTCAGTCACAAAGTCCATCTTCACAACACTCACAAAGCCCTTCACGGATCCTAATCAGCTCTGTGGCCATATCTTGTGTTCTGGAGCAGGGAAGCTCGTCCCCTCTCACTAATGAGAGCAGCAGGGTCCCAGCCACCTCGAAGCACGAGGTATAACTCAAGGATGGAATGGGCTGATGTAAGAAGTGCTGGCAGCAGCCCATGGTCAGTGACCTCCATCCTAGAAACCTAGACACCTGTTTTAGACAAATCTGCTGAAATTCTCCAGGGCGTTGGGTGACCTCTAGCATCAGCCTGGGCCTGGCAAGGCTGTTCTTGACTTTGCCATTAATGACTCAGCCCATCATTCAACACCCATCTTTGAAGCACTTTCTTAGTCCTGGTTCCCTCTAGGCACCAGGAATTCGAGGGATGGTCAGTTCCCACCCAGACCCTGTTGTCACAGAAGTGATACTCAGGATGGCTGGCACCGGGTGAGCAAGAGCACCGCCCTGGCTGAGCACGCAAAGGAGAAGGTGGCTTTCCTGACAGCATGAAGCAGACTGGGGCTCCCTGAGGAAGTGATGTTTTCTCCCCACCCTGGGTGAGAGGTGTGGAGGGAAGAGGGTTGCAAGGTAGCAGCCACACCTAAGAACCCAGAGATGGGAAAGACAAGACAAGCTAGAGTCTTGCCACTCAAAGTGTGGTCCAGGGACCAGCAGCATGGACCTCTTTGGGGAGCACATTAGAGATGCAGAATCTTGGTGCTGCCCCACATCCACTGATCAGAACCTACATTTTAACAGTTCCTGGATGATTTCTGTGCACGTTAAAGTTGGAAAAAGTGGAGTGGCTGGAACCCAAGGCAAGAGGGAGGGAAAGAGAACTGAGATGAAACTGGAAAATGTTGTCAGGGTCTGGTCATGAAGGCTGTAAAGATGACCTTACAGAATTTGGATCTGAATCTCAGGAATATGGGTGGATTTTTAGTGAGTTTTTTAATTTGTTTTTTATCAGGATGATGATGTGTTCAGGTAGGTGTTTAGAACACTCTGTAGAGAAGAGGCTTGGAGGGCTGGGGTTGTGGCTCAGTGGTAGAGTGCTTGCCTAGCATGTGCAAGGCCCTGGTTTTAATCCTCAGCACCACATACAATAAATTAAATAAAAGTATTGTGTCCAACTACAACTAAGGAAAAAAATAAATATTAAAAAAGAGAGAGAGAAGAGGCTTGGAGCCATGCTAGAGGGATCAAAAGCAGTCAGGCTCAGTACACTGGAGAAAGGCCCCTGCCAACATTAGTTGCCTGTGATATTGTGGAAGCTGGACTTGAATCCCCCCTCAGTCCACTACACTTCCCAAACTCAAGCACCCCTTGCATGGTCTTCAGAGACTTTTAGAAAGGCCTGAGCCCCTACTAGATGAACTCTCAAAGACAGGGACATTCTCCTGATGGAGTTAATCTTGTGAAATTAAAAGATAAAAATAACAATGCTCAGTGCTGATAGGTATGTAGGTGAGGGAGGCCATCCCTGTTCACTAGGTGGAAATATGAAGCAGAACAGCCTCTCTGGAACGTAACTTGATAATATGGTCTTGTAAATGATCCTTTATTGGGCTGTAGCTCACTGGTGCTTGCCTAGCATTTTTGAGGACCCAGGTTCAATCATATATATTTAAGTATCTGGTATTTATATATATGTGTGTGTTTGTACATAGGTGTGTGTGTGTGTGTTTATACCAGATATATATATATCCTGTTTTATCCTGTTTTGGCCTGCACTCAGATCCTATTAGGAGGGATCAGAAAATCTTGGCAAAAAATTAGAAACAATCAAAATGATTCAAGGGTGGGGGGATGGTAAATCATATCATAGTGAATACCCTCAACAAGGTATTTTGACTAGTTTTGTTGTTACTTTTTTTTTTTTTTTTTTGGAACTAGGGATTAACCCAGTGGTGTTTTCCTACTGAGCTACATCCACAGCCCTTTCTATTTGTTCATTTTTATTTTGAAACAGTCTCACCAAGTTGCTTAGGGCCTCTCTAAGTTTCTGAGCTTTCTAAGTTGCTCAGGCTGACCTCCAACTTGTAATGCTCTTGCCTCAACCTCACGAGGCTCTGGAATTACAGGTGTGCACCACTGTATCCAGTTTTGTTTTAATGAGATGTAAAGAAGATTGTGAAAATGTCTCATAATGTTGCAAGAAAAAAAATTATAAATGCAAGGTAGTTTTCAACTTTGCAAAAATTACCCATAGGCAAAAATGAAAGAAAATCCATTAAAACATGAACTATGATGGAAATGTGGCTATTTCCCTCTGCTGTTTTTCTGTATTTTCAAATGTTCTATAACAAATGTATAATGCCCTTATGATGAGAAAAAATGTTTTTAAAAACTGAATTGTGTTCTGACCCTGAAACAGGCAACGCCATGGTCTTGGAGGCAGATGTTACTGTCCATGGGCTCAATACCGCGAATGAGACAGGGGTCCCCATCATGGCCCATCCCCCTGCCATCTACAGTGACAACACCCTGCAGCAGTGGCTGGAGACGGTGCTAGCCTCTTCCCTGAAGGGTATGTGCACCCTGGACCCCCCTTCAGCACCCCAGCTCTCTGGTCCTGGGGAGAGGTCCTCACCAGTTGCTCACCGCCCTGACTTCCTTCCCAGTGTGCCAGACACGCAGGCTCAGTGAAGACCGGGTGAGGTGGGGAAGTAAAGGTGCATGTCCAGGTGTCCTCTCCTGGACACACGGGTGAGATGAGGTGCCAGAGCAGTGCAGAGCAAACTACAAAGTGCCCCTTGTGTTCAGGGCGTCCCCTCCTGTATCCACAATACTGGATGCAAGATGTTCAGAGCTAAACTTCACACCTGCCCCCATGTCACAGTATCAGGTACCCTCAGAACCCAGGCACCCTCCTAGTGTCTCCCTCTCCCCCACCCTCCACTCAGCTGCTGCATCTGCGAAATCGATCTCCAGCCCCAGCCCCGTCATCCCTCTCCTGGACCTCCTTCCTCACTGGCTCCTGTCCCAAACTCAGCCCCTCTGGCCTTCCCTTGCCTACTGAGTGCTCATGTGCACGTGCTCTCTCTCTATCTCTCTCTCTCTCTCTCTCTCTCTCTCACACACACACACACACACACATACACTGTGACCATTCCAAAAGGCCAGTATTTTCATAACATTTCCTGCTTTGACCCTCAATGGCTCCCCATTGTCTTGGCCTGGCTTTCAATATCTTTTCTAATTTTCCAGCCCCACCTCCGCACCACCCTGAATGAGATGGGCTTCCATTTGCATTGCCTGACTGTGCCTAGATGCTCCCTCAAACACCCCCTCCTGGCGGCCACACCACTTCCCTGCAGGCCCTGGTAGTTCAGGAGCCTCTGAGCCTGTCCAGGAATCCCCATGCCCAGGCCTTTAGCTGGCCTCTGCTTCCGCCCCACAGCGGGTGGGACTCACTGCTCTCGAGGCGAGCGCTTCTCTGGGTTGGCTCTGTTCAGTCCTCACACCCAGCCACCATCTGCCCTGTCTTCCCACCTTCCCGAACCTCCATCACACACACCCTACCTGCTGGCTCAGCCACTAGAGTCACATCTTCCAGTTCCCCAAGCCCTTGCCTCCTCCCCACAGGTATCAAACTGGACTTCAAGAGCCTCAAGGCCGTGGGCCCCTCCCTGGACCTCCTGCAACAGCTGACAGAAGCCGGAAAAGTCCGGAGGCCCGTGTGGCTCAATGCTGACATTCTAAGGGGCCCCAATGTGCCCCTCCCAATTGAGGTCAATGCCACCCAGTAAGTGTTCACTTCTCTGCCCCAGCTGCACCCAGCCCTCTTCCATCAACACCTAGCATGGAAGGAGAACTTAGCGAACCTTCCTTGAGTCTGCCTTCAGTCCACCATGTAATCTCACCTGAGTCTTTGCATATGCTGTTCCTTTTGTCTTGAGTGCCTTTCCCCCTTTTTGGAAGAACTTCTGCCCAGTTACTAACATCTCCAGAAACATACCTGACTTCCCAGGCTGCTAAGAGGCTTCCTCTGGGGCCCACAGTTCCCAAATTTCTTCCTAACACAGCCCCAATCTCATTGGGTGATCACTGTTCACAGGTTTTCACCCCCACTGTGGACTCCCGGGGGGCAGACAGGGCCAAGCTCAGGACTTGGCTGCAAGAAAAGTCTAAAACATTGGCTCCATCCCAGTCCCCCTGCACATCCTTCCACTAACAGCCCTGGGACACCAGCTGCAGAGTGTGCAGTGGGTTGCAAAGGAGGTTTGTATGGAAGGAAGGGATGTCCTTAACTTGGTCCTTAAGCAGGCAGCACTGCTAGGTGAGGAGTGGGTTTTCCTCCCCATTCTACAGATGTGAAAAAAAATCACAGAAATTGAGGCTCTGCTTGTTGAATGTTTATTGTGCTTCCCAGGCACTGTTTTAAGCACTTTACTTGAAGAATACCACTTAACGCTTGTAATGAGAATGAGGTAGGTGCTATCGCCTTGGGTTTACAAATATAGGAACTATCTTATGGAAGTTAAATGATCTGCCTACATCTATTAGTAGCAGAGCAGAGATTCAAACCTAGGCCTTTGTCGTTCTAAGCTCCATGCTCTTTACCTTCCATTTCTTTCTCACCCCATCTGTTCATCAAACCATCCATCCAACGTTCATGTGTGTCTCCAACTGGGACACTTGGAAAGTAGCAGTTTGAAAATGTAGTCAATGGACCAAGAGAAATATGGTTAGTCTTCTTGGAGTGTTGATTTTACTCATGATGTGGGGGGGGAAGGATTGTTTGCATGTTAAAATTTGTATAAGAGCATTTTTTTTTTTTTTGTACCAGGGATTGAACCCAGGGACACTTCACCACTGAGCCACATCCCAGTCCTTTTTATATTTTATTTGGAGACAGGGTATAATTAAATTCCTGAGGCCTCACTAAGTTTCTGAGGCTGGGATTTTTTTTTAATATATTTTTTTTTTTAGTTGTAGTTCAACACAGTACTTTCATTTTATTTTTATGTGGCGCTGAGGATCGAACCCAGCGTTCTACACATACTAGGCCAGCACTCTACCGCTGAGCCACAACCCCAGCCCCCTGAGGCCGGCTTTGAACTCACGATCTTCCTGCCTCAACCTCCCAGTCTCTGAGATTACAGGCGTGTGTCACCACACCTGGCTTAAAAGCAAAATTTGAAAAAAAAAAAAAAAAATTAAGTCTGAAATTTGCCAGGTGTGGTGACATATGCCTATAATCCCAGAAGCTCAGGAAGCTAAGCCAGGAGTATCACAAACTCGAGGCCAGCCTTGGCAACTTAGTGAGACCCTAGCTGAAAATACAAAATTAAATTAAAAAGGAAAGGAGATGTAGATGATTGATCGAGAGCCCCTGGGTTCAATCCCGAGTACAGAGAAGAAGAAGCCCTTCCTTTTCGGAAGTGATGCTGTTATTTGAGAATCAGAGGTTGACCAGCCCCAGGTCAGAGTCAGGGCCTGAACCCAGACTTCCCTGGCCCCAGAGTGCGTGCCCCACTTGTGGGTCTGTGAACAAGTCACTCTGTTCTTCAGGCTCTGCAGCCGCCCTCCTGTCACAGACTCAACAGGCCCCGCCACTTCCTCTCGCTGCGATGAGGACACAAGAGAAGAGGACAGGACCAGCGTGGCTCTGAAAGACCAGTGTCTCCCTTCTCTGCAGGTTCCTGGCACTGGTCCAGGAGAAGTATCCTCAAGCCACCTTGTCTCCAGGCTGGACCACCCTCTATATGCCCCTGTTCCCAAACAGCACCTACACTCAAGCCATGGTGGAGAAGATGCAGGAGCTGGTGGGAGCGCTGCCACAGAGGGTCACCTTCCCTGTGCGGGCTGTCATGGTGCGGGCTGCCTGGCCCCACTTCAGCTGGCTGCTGGGCCAGTCGGAAAGGTGAAACCCCACAGCTGCTCTCACGCCCCTGCTGGTTTCAAACCCACCTCTGGGATTAGGTGCCGGGGGAAGATCCCTGATCCCGACCTTTAGGCTAGAAAGTCCTAAAGATCATCTTGTCCAACCCTACTGGTGCTCACACCTACAATGTCCCTGTCTTTTATTTGTATACCTCTGGTGACGGGCTGCTCACTACTTCCTGGGGGTGGGGAGGGCAGGTTTCCATTGGTGGGTAACTGTCTGCCTGTTAACAAATGTTTATTCTGAGATGAGACAGAATCCATCTCCCGGCAGCTTCCTCCCATAGGCCACCTATGCCCCTGCGGCTGCAGAGATTATACCTACAACCTCTGCCCAGAATAGCCCTATAGGGCTTAAGGGACCCCCCCACCCTACCCTGCAACCAGCTCTCAGCCGCCCAACCCTCCCTTTCTCAGCCCTTCCCCACAAAAATCCCAAGGTGGCCCACTTCCCTCTTCACACTTGACCTCCCCACACCTTGCCCTCTGTCCTTGTCCCTTTCCTAAGGCAGAGCTTGAAAATAGGTACTCTGAGTGGACAGCTCCTCTGTCCTTCCAGACTTTGGCTTGCGGTTACCCCCAGGAATGGGCAGTGCTCAGGGAGGAGGGGCTGTGTGACACTGGAGGACTGATGCCCCACCCTTGGGCCCAGCCAGCCTCTGGTTCTGAGCACAGGAGGGGGGCCGAGGGTCTTGCTGGGCCCAGACTGGCACTGAGCCAGCTGTCTGGGCCCAGGTACAGCCTGACACTGTGGCAGGGCGCCTCCGACCCCGTGTCAGTGGATGATCTCCTCTACATCCGGGACAACACCGCCACCCACCAAGTCTACTATGACCTCTTTGAGCCTGTCCTGTCACAGTTCAAGCAGCAGGCCTGTAAGGAAGGAGCCTGGGGAGGGTGGTGTGGGTTGGATTCTGCATAGGGCAGCCCCTGGGTGGGCCCTGGAGCAGAGCTGGGGGGAAGGAACATCAGAAGGGGAAGATCCTGGGTGGAATAGGAGGAGAGATTCTGCTATTGCAACTTAGCCCCGGGATGGCATTCTATTTAAGTGTCATATTCATGAAGCCGGAGTTCCAATTTATAGGTAGGGAAACAGGTGTAAACAGTTACAGAGTTTATATGTCATCAGATCTTAACAAGGCAGAGCTCTTATCAGAACTCAGCAAATTCCAACCCTGTAGACTTTCCATGTAGCACAGTCTCTCTGTGGGTGAGACTTAATAATCCAGATGCTACTGTGCATATTTGCTCCCTTGACCCTGCAGCTGAGTGGTCACAGGGGGTCCCATCAGAGTCCACATCCCCACTGTGGGAGCTACCTAAGTGAGGGGGAGGATACTAGCTGTGGGTACAGCTAGCTCTGGTTCCATCCAGTTCCAATCCAGTAACTGCTGAAGGACCTTGGGCAAATCACTTCTCCTAGTCTATCAAAGCGGGGAGATGACAGCAAGAGTCTTGGAATAAGGTAGAATCGGAGCATATAGAAGGCACTCTGAATGGTCGCCACTTCATCTCAACAATTTTGGACCCCACAGTGAATGCCACAAGGAAGCGAATGTACTACACCGGCAGTAGCCTGATCCCTGTTCTCCAGCCACCCGCGGGTGATGGTCTGGGCGTGGAGTGGCTGCTTCCAGAAGTGCAAGGCAATGGCAGAACAGCAGTGATCACGCTCCCTGGTAAGTCTGTCTACAGCCCTGGTACCCCTAGCTGACCTGCAAGGGTGTCCTTTGCCAGTGGACCTTGGACCTCGGTTACCATGGCAACATGGGCCCATGTAAGCCACACACTGGATACAAAGTAGGGTGGGGCCAGGGGGAGTGGGGTAGTCTCAAGAGCACCGGCTTCCTGGCCTTCAGACCAGCACTCTTGAGTCCTCAGTCACATGATGCTATAGGAGGAGCCGGCATCTGCCCCAGGTCTATGTCACAAGTAAAGGCCAAGAGCTGAGCTGGCAGCTTATCACTTTAGTCTTGACAAGTACCAGGCACCACAACTGAAACCCAGAACAAGGTTAGAGGATTCCAGAGAGGCAAGGCCGTCCCCATAGCCACACCCCCACCCCACCCCGTGCCCTTTTAACAAGAGATTCTGGCTCCCTTGGGAACCTGAGACCAGCCATGGTTGCCTCTTCCAGACAGAGAAGGCGTGATCCTGCTGGACGTTGGTCTCCAGGGAACTGCAGCCGGGGACCCTGTGCCCATCGTCCGTGCCCCAGGCAGCGCTGCCCTGACACTGGAGTCATGCCTGCTGCAGCTGGCCACGCGCCCTGGGCGCTGGGGCCTCCACGTGCACATAGTAGAGCCCGCAGCCCTCCGTCCGTCCCTGGCCATCCTGGCACACCTCTCAGCCCTTGGCCACCTGCCTCGGCCTGTGTGGGTCGGGGCCACAATCTCATATGGGAGTTTTGTGGTCCCTGGCCACACGGCTGGCAAAGAGTTCCTTAAGGCTGTGGCTGAGGTATTCCCCCATGTGACCGTGGCACCCAGCTGGCCCGAGGAGGTGCTAGGCAGTGGCTATGGGGAGCGGCTGCTCATGGATATGCTGGAGCTCTGCCAGGGACTCTGGCAACCTGTGTCCTTCCAGCTGCAAGCCGGGCCACTGGACCAGAGCATGGTGGGAGCTGTGGCCAGGCTGCTGGCAGCCTCCCCCCGGGCCACCGTCACAGTGCAGCACAGCCCCACTGGGAGCAGCTGTACAGCTGTGTGGGCAGGGCTGCTGGCAGCCAGCGGGGTGGACAGGACCAGAGTCTACTGCAGGCCCCCCCAGGGGTACCACAAGGACTCGTGGGCAGATGTTGGCAGAAACTGACCGCCCAGTGGTGCCGGGCCAGCCAACTCCTAGGTCCAAGCTTCCCTGCAGGAGGCAGGAGGAATAAATGCCTCTGCCTTCCTCCTCGCACGGCACGAGAGTCCTTGGGGGCAGCTGGAGGGGAGCCTAGAGGGTCTGGAGGCTGGGGGCCAGGTCATTGCGATTGTCCAGGAGGAAACGTTCGCAAGCCTTGAAGGTGGTGTAGAACTCCGAGGAGAGGCCGGACACGTTGGTGGTCACGTAGTTGAGGAAGTCCGGGCTGACCTGGTTGTAGTAGGACACCTGCAGAGCAGGAAGCCATGCTCAGGGAAGCAGAGAAGGGTGAGGGGCATGGCCCACCCCTGGGCATGAGGCGGGGGTGGGGAGAGTCGCCTTCTGGGAGAGCAGCAGATACAGCCCAGCTCCATGGAGTCTTGAAGGTCAGTTGATAGGTGTGACCTTCTCCAGCCGGTTTCCCCTAACCCTCCTCAGGGTGCTGACAACCCTGGCTGCCAGTCACCACACACTGTACTGTCATTGGGCATCTTTTCCCTCAGTTATGTGGCGTTCAGGGAAGGGGCTAGGTCTCCAGAACCTCCTACAGAATCCCCCTTAAATAAAGGTGCTCTGGGGCTGCAGAGAAACGTTGGACTTTGGCCTGGAACATGGCCCCCACCCCCAGCCTGTTGGCTCAAGTGTGCTGATGTAGCCAACACTGGCTGAGGCTCACCAGACTGGAGCTGCAGGGCCCCACAGGAGCTGGAAGCTGGTGTGGGAGCTCAAGTCCCCCCTTTCTCAGCCTCCTCCCCACCTTTTCAATTAACGCGGACTGCCTTGCTGAGTTTTATGGGCCTCAGAGCCATATAAAGCCTTCCCAGACAAGAAGTATACAAGTAAATAAATAATGAGATGAATTTTTAGATCAGAACCCAGCCTTCTGCTGTCGGCATCCTGAGCTTTCTCCAGGCTCTCATTTAGTCGCACCCATCAGATCTTAATGCAGCCTCCTTTTCAGCCTCCGATACTCTGAGGCTCCCCCAGGTTGGGAGAGGGAGGATGCTGGAAGGGGACCCAGGTCTGGACTTGTCCTAGCCCAGCAGCATTGAGCTCAGTAGAGTTCAAAAAAATGCTGTTGGACGCCAGGCCTCACCTTGGTCAACTGGTCCCCCTCGCGCCAGAGGCAGAAGCCTGAGCAGAGGGTCTCGGCACGACGGTACTCTGGTGTCTCGCAGTGCGTGGGCAGCGTGACTGACCTCATCGCAATGACGTAGGGGTCCCTGGAGTGGAGGGAAGCGGAGGGGGCAGAGATCAGCCACAGAAGGGAGGGTCCACCCCATCCCCCAAGCCTGAGCTTTGGCTCCAGGCCAGGCTGGGGAGAAGAGGCAGCTACACCACCCGCTGGGGGGTCGCCTGGAAAAGTCCCTCCACTGTGGACAGGCAGGGGGAGAGCCGCATGTGATTTTATTCATCCTCCTGTCCCTGTCTAGACAGAAGGGACACCACTATCTTGGCCTCCCCACCAGTGGCAGAGCTGACAGGCTCATGGCCCTCCAGTCACAAAGAGGAGGGTCCAAGGAGTACGTGTGAGAAGTGCCTTGTCCAGGGCCTTGAGTGTGGCAGCCTTGGCCACCCAGGCCACAGAGGGCCCTGCTTTAGGGCACAGGTGACTCAAGATGAAGTGTGAGCTTCCATTTCCCACCGTCCCCACAGTAAAACCATGGCAGCCCAGAAAAATCTAGTGGGGCCTGGGATCCCACAACCAATGGGAAGCAGAGTCTAACTCCAGGATGAGGCTCCCTCCCCAGGGAGGGGGATGAGGCCTCCCCAGCTGGCCACCTTATTGCATCCCCAGAAGGTAGGCACCTACCCATTGTCACAAGGCTTGCGCCGTGAGGCCAGGATCACAAAGTCCTGGGGCTTGGCATCACGACCAAGGGCAGGGCTGATGATGTGGTAGATGGCATCATCCTCGTCCACCTGTTGCACTAGTTCCACGCTCCTGGGGGGAGGCCAGAGCTCAGGGCCCAGGGAGCCACACCCGCTCCCATGGGACAGTGGGTCTGCTGGGCCCCACATGCCACAGCCACCCTCAGCACCATCTGTGATGGAGACTTCTTTCCCTGCACTAGTCAGCAGGACCCAGACAGAGGGCCTGAAGGCCTAGCCAAGGACACATGCAGGCACAGGCACATTCACACAGACACACAAGCAAATACACAGGGACAAAGCCACGTATAAACCCATTCACACGTGACAGACACGGGTAGATAACTGTGAACACGCATCTGTGTACATCTGTATGTCCCACAGAGGTGTGAAGGCTTGGTAGTTGTGGTTTATTTTTAGTGTGTACCCACTGTGTGCCAGGTACTATTTTCTGGGCTACATGCATATTATGTCTCTGGCACAGCCCTGTGCAGTGGGCACCCTCAGAATCCCCACGTTATAGACGAGGGGCTGAGACAGGGCAATCACCTGTCCCTAACTGTAGAGCTAAGAGGGACACAGGGCTGGGATTTCAGCCTCCAGACAGAGAACCGTAATCCCAGACACACACGGCACACACATACCCAGGTACATGCACGCAGGCTCACGTCAGCACATGAGGAGAACCACACAGATATGTACAGCCATGTCCAGACCAGCCACCTCCCTGGCTCTCCCCCTACACTGGGAGGCTGTCTTGGGAGTGGGGTAGCTGTGGTCAGGGGAAAGGGAAACAGGCTGGAGATTCTCTTTACCTTCAAGGGATGCCAGAGGCCATCAAGTATCAAGATTCCATATGATCACTAGCCCACCTCCTCCAAACCCCACCTCCCCACATCCACCACCCACCAACTCTCAGTCTCCCAGAGTGCACCCCACAGGCCTGGGCTCTTTAGAGCAGCACTACCCTTCCTGTGAAGAGATCTTCAGTAGGTTCAATGCTGCCAAGCAGGCCAGACCGGGGCAGGCAGACCAGGTAGGAAGGGGAAAGCAAACTTGTCTTAAGTCAACTGTGATATGTATGGCTCAGTGGTAAAGCATTTGCCTAGCATGCATGAGGCCCTGGGTTTGGCCCCCAGCATCAAGAAAACAAAAAATCAACTTGCCAAATGACAGTACCCTGTATTGCCAGACACACAGACCCTCCTTATGGAGGCTCCTCACATAAGCCATTGGAGAGGTGACCAAAGACCCCAGACCTAGGGTGTTCGCATAACAGAAAATGCTTTGAGGGTCTTGAAGAAAACACAAGTTTAAACATTAACTTTCCTATATTGAGCACTGACATTTTGGCTATTTTCCTAAAAAATATTTATCTTCCCTGACTAAATTCAAGAAGATATATAAAAAATCAGGCACTCTTGCCTCTCCCAGGAGCCCTGCACTAGGAGTTCTAAGTCTTTTTCTCACCTTCCTTTTTCAAAAAGATTCCTGCTTGCTTCGGGGAAAAAAAAAAAGATATATGAAGAATCAGTAAATTTGGGGAACAAATGTATTCAAAGGAATAACATTCATAGTCAATCACTATATTTAAAAGTAACATTGGCCAGGCGTGGTGGTGCACACCTGTAATCCCAATGGCTTGCGGGGCTGAGGCAGGAGGATCGTGAGTTCAAAGCCAGCCTCAGCAACTTAGTGAAGCCTTAAGCAACTCAGTGAGACCCTGTCTCCAAATAAAATACAAAAAAAAAGGGCTGGGAGTGAGTGCCCCTGCGTTCAATCCCTGGTGTCAATAAATAAAAGTAACATTCACATACATACTTTAAAAAATTGACAAACTAAATTCTGCAAGTTGGCTACTTTACTTAGATGGTCTAAACATGGGAGGGAGCCCCATGGGAGCCCCACCCACCCCTCAGCCTCCCAACCTCATTCCAAGCAATCCCTGGGCCCCCTTGGAGCAAAACTCCACAGAATGTGGTTTGAATATCCTCTGAGTATAAATCCATGATTCCCATTCCAAGTACCCATATTAAGAGGGAGGAAACTGAGGCCCAGAAAGGAAGTGGGGCCCCAAGTCACACAGCTAGTTAAGGCAGAAACAGGACTTAAATCCAGGCCTCCAAGTCCAATCCCAGGCTCAGTCTCTTCCCTGAGAGCTAAAAATGCCTATGACCCTGACTACAATCTCCCACCACACTCCTAGTTCCCACTGAAGGCCAGCAGGGGTGAGCATGAGGTGGGACAGCTCCACAGGAGATACCATATCCCACCCCAGTCCTGAGAAGGGACCCAGCCTGGCTAGCCCCCAGGCCCTCACCGGTAGTGCTTGTCCCACTCCGGCCTGCGCTGCAGGTCTGAGAGCAGCAGGAAGGCCTGGGCTGCATCCACGTGCACCACCATCTCCAGATGGAAGGAGAAAAACTTGTCTTCCTCCAGGCTGTACAGGCGGACCTGCATGGACCAAGGGCAGCCGCAGCCCTGCACCTCCTCCCCAGACTGTGCTGGGTGGTGGGGTGCTGCCTGGGATGCTAGGGGCAGGGGCTGAAAGCTCAGGGTGGCCACTGACTCGCTGTGTGACTGTGAACTGGCGCTTAAACCTCTCTCAGCCTCAGCTGCATCCCACAGAATGGATCCCTGATCAAAGTCAGCACAAAGGGACCGACCGGAAGGAATCTTAAGCAGTGCCTGAGGCAGCAACGCAGGGGCTCCTCAGAGCCAGGTGTCCCTGTGACTCCTTGCATCATTGGTGGGCAATTGATTTGTCCAAGGTGCAGGTAAGCGTGGCAGAGCTCAGATGCTACTCCACTTCCCTCATCCCCGCGGTGACTCACTATAGATGGGGCAGAGGGAGGGAGGGGTGTTGGGTAGGGAGCAGCAGATATGCAGGCAGGAGGGAAGGGCTGGGCTCCAGGTCCTGGGGACAGGCATGTTTCTAGAACTGGGTTGGTTTCATGGTCTCACTAAATTGCTTTGAAGAGATCCCCTTCTGCCATAAGTGGCCTGAGAGGTCCTGTCACCGGCCACCAGCCTCCTTTGGCCACTCAGAAGGGAGAGAAAACATGGGTGGGCAGGGTCAGCTACCTGACTGATCTCCGAGGACAGCACCCAGTTGTCCTTGGCCATGAGCATCTTCAGGGAGGACACGTTGTTGTAGCTCAGGTACACCTAGGAAGAGCACACAGAGGCTGCCCTCCCCTCCTGAGGGTTCCTGGGTCAAGGCCACACTGGCATGGGAGAGCCTGAGGAGAGCCTGAGGCCTTGGGGAAGGAAGTGCAGGCTGGTTCTGATCCAGACAAGCTGCTCTCAGGCCTCAGCACCCTTCCGCCAAGCAGGGCACGTAGGCAAGCCCCTCGAAGACTAACCCTCTGAGCAAGGCGTAGGCCTCCCTAGTCCCTGTTCCCTTCAGGTTCCTTCCAATAGGGAGGGTGAGGGGACCCTGATGGGCCTGAGGGCTGTCCCCTTGGAGCAGAGAGCCTTACCTGGTTGCTAGGGTCCCAGGGAACAGAGAGGGGCATCTCTGCCTGCTTGCAGGACACAATGTACTTCCTGGGAGGAGGGAAGAAGAGGCCATTACCCTCCACAGACTTCATAGCTGTTTGCCAGGCCCTGTGCAGAGCCCAGTGGGGTCAGGCACTCCTGTCCTGTCTGGCTAGGGAGACTGGACTGTGCGACACCTGAGAGCTCAGGACCTCAGCCAGGCCCCAAAGAGCCAGAGGGGACCAGGCTGTGAGGGAGAGCAGGGTTTAAGGCTCTGTCCCCATGTCTCTGCTGAGCAACTCCACCCTAGGCCTCCGTGTACTCCTCTGTGAAATGGGATCAATAGTCACACCTGCCTTGTGGGACTTTACAGAAGAACATTGGCATATGGCGAGCATGCCACCAAGGGCCACTTTCTTACTAGCCATGGCCTGTGACCCCTTGTGACCCCCTGGCCTTACAGCACTCAGTGTATAAAGTGCTGCTGTGCAGGCAGTCACACCAGGGTCTGGTCACTAGCAATGATGCCCCCTCTCAGAAACTTTTTTTCTTTCTTTCTTTCTTTTTTCAGTACTGGTGATTGAATCCCGGAGCTCTCTACCACTGAGCCACATCCATACCCCTTTTTATTTTGTTTGTTTGTTTGTTTATTTATTTATTTATTTATTTAGGGGAGATGCTGGGGATTGAACTCAGGGGCACTCAGCCACTGAGCCACATCCCCAGCCCTATTTTGTATTTTACTTAGAGACAGGGTCTCACCCACTTGCTTAGCACCTTGCTGTTGCTGAGGCTGGTTTTGAACTTGTGATCCTCCTGCCTCAGCCTCCCAAGCCATTGGGTTTATAGGTGAGTGCCACTGTGCCCAGCAGGTTGTTGGGTTTTTTTTTTTTTTTGGTAATTGAACCCTGGGGCTCTCTACCACTGAGCCACATCCCTAGCCCCTTTATGTTTTTTGTGTTTTGTTTTTGTTTTTGTTTTTTTTTTTGAGACAGGGTCTTGCTAAGTTGCCCATGTTAGGCTCAAATTTGAGATCCCCAGCCTCCTAGTCACTGGGATTACAGGCGTGTGCCACCGTGCTCAGCTAAGTCTTTCTTTCTTCATCTGACACACAGGCCTCAGGGTTGATGGGATAAATACAGGATTTAAAATCACCCAGGCCTGGGGCTGGAGTTGTAGCTCAGCATGTGTGAGGCACCTGGTTAGATTCTCAGCACCACATAAAAATAGGTAAATAAAATAAAGGTCTATCAACAACTAAAAATCTAATTTTTTTTTTTAAATTTTTATTTTAATATTTTTTAAAAATTACCTCAGGCCTGGCTAGGTTCAAATGCAGACTATAGTGGCACCTATCTCTGTCCCTGGGATCAAGCCACCTAACCCCTATGTCCTCAATGTCCTTACCCCTACAAAAATGGGTCATAAGACCACTATATAAATGAGGCCAAAATAAAAGCCTTAGCCCATGAGCAGCCTTGAGGGAAGTCAAGTGTCCTGGGGTCAGTGGAGCAGCACAGAACCCTGAAACTTGCCGGGAGCCCCCACTCACCTGTCCAGGCGGATCTTCTTCCTGGCACTGGCCTCTCTGTACCGTCGCTCGCCCTCCTGGGAAGGAAGCAGGGACAGGTGTGGGGTGGGTGACACAACCAGCTAACCCCAACTCTGCCCCTAACTGTCCCCAGGGCCAGGAGAGGCCTTGGAGCCTCAAGTGGAGCTCATGTCTCACGGGGGCAGCCAGAGTTAAAAGATCCCAGCCAGGAAAGTGCAAGGGCACTGGGCCGCAGCACCAGGCCTCCGTGAATGGCCTTGAGGACACCATCCCCCCCCTCACTGGGCCTGTTTCCTCCTCTGGGAGATATGGATCCTTAGAGGGCACCTGCAGTGGTCACGTTTACTGGGTACTTGCTGTGAACCAGCCGCTGGCCCACGGACTCCCCCTGCAATGCCATCCACTCTTAGAGCAGCCCCAAGTCCACCCATTTTACATAGGAGGAAACTGATGCTCAGAGCTGTGTGGCTGCCCACAGTCTCAGGGTCCAGGGAGATCAGAGCTCAGATGGCCTGGCCTGGAGCCCACCTAAGTCCCCACTCGTGAGCACCAAAGGCTGCAGCCCCCACCTCAGGCTGGACCCCCACCCCCAGCTATTCCTGCCTGCCTGCTCCCTGCGGCAGGGGACTTTCCTGGAAAGACCAGGTGGCCACTACAAGGTCACCACCTGGTCCATGAGAAGCACAAGCAGCATTTTTGGACAGCCTTTGAGCCCAGGCCCCTGGCCCTCACCCTGTGCTTCTCACTCCCGTCCCCTCATCCTGACAGCCACCACTCTCTGAGTGCCTCCAGGCTTAGCCAGGCACCCCGTGAGCCCCACAGCCCTGGGAGGCAGGGAACACAGACACACCCATTTTATAGATGGGGCTGAAAGCTCAGAAGGCCACCCATGAGAATGTGACGAGGTGAGGTTCTGACCCAAATGCCAGGCCTCTTCCCAATTCTACAGGTGCTTGCAGGACCATGAACACCCGACACCAGCCAGACCCATACACCCAATCCAAGTCCTGCCCAGTGTGCCTTCACCCCAGGGGCACCCCGGGGTCATGGCCAGGACGCTCAGAGCTGGCTGGGCCCCAGCAGAGAACCAGGGCCAGACCCCTCAGTCCCCAGGCCTGTCAGAGGCTGAGAAGAGGGGTAGGGAGCTCATGGGGGGCATGGTGCTGCCCAGCTTACCCCAGGCTGAGGCCGAATCCAGGGCAGCTTCTGGGGCTGGTCATCTGCGTCCAGGACCACAAAGGTCATGAAGGCACTGTTGATGTGCCGCCGGTGGGTCTCAGCCTCCTGGCGATAGGCCTCCACGCACACGCCCACCTCCATGCTGAGGGGGAGGGATGGCTGCCATGCTGGACAAAACTTCCCAGCCATGCTCCTCCCCAGCTAGTGCGCATACACACACACACACACACACACACACACACACGGTGCACAGAGTCCCATTGGCAGGAACCTAGAAGTGTCCCCTTCCATCGCTGATTACAGAGTGTTTACAGGGCACAGAGCACAGGGCCCAGCCTGTGAGACACAGAAATGGATAGTCCTGTCCAGACAGTGCCTCGTGGGCTCACAGCAGGGGATGAGCCTACAAACATAGAAGAAGTCCTAAAAGGTCACGTCGGACCTCAAGGGTCATTGTGAGAGGTGGAGATGGACCACCTTGCTGGAGGAAATGCCCATTCTACAGATTTCCCAGGCGCCCTCGCAGCCAGGCGCTACCAGCTCAGTCGCTGCTACACTCGTGCTGTCCAGGACCCTTGACCCTGCAGGGTGGGCAGCAGGGGAGTCAGGGGAGCTTCCAGAGGAGGGAACACTGGCGCTGCACTTGGGTGAGGTGGAGGGACCAGCAGCCAGGCAGGGTCTAGATCCAGTTCACAGGGTGAAGGTCTTGGCAGGTTTGCATGAAGCTCCTCTGTGGGGTCAGGGAGCACCCTAAGCCCCACCCAGCCCAGCTCCTCACCTATGCTTGAAGGCGTTGTTCACGATGGCCTTGAGCACCAGACGGTCTCCAACCTGGGACGGACCTCGGAAGTGGAACATCTCGATAGCCTTCAGTGTGGGGTGCCCACGGCAGAGCCGGCTGAGGGGCAGGGAGTGAGGAGACAGGAGATGTGTCCCCCAGGGCTTCAGCCACTGACCTGCACCAGCCTGAGCATGCCCCCACACCCAGACTCATCCTGGGACCAGAGTACCACCCTCTAACCCAACCCAGAGACAGTTCTGCACTGAGTCCCATTTCCCAGCTTAGAATACTGAGGTCCATGTGAGTGGCTAGAAGGAGCTGAGTTTAGGAGACAGAAGAAAGCCTCTTCCCCATCTTCCTCCCAATACCTTAGTAAATACCTTAGTACCTGCTAAGCCCCTCTCTCCCAGAGTTGTCATTCAAGGGCTACTGAAGCACTCCTCCTCCAAGAAGCCCTCCCTGACCATCCAGACTCTCCCTCTCGTCTGAGACCTCATTGCACTCATAGTCAAGGACTGTCCCAAATAGCACCGCTTAAGTACCTCTCCCCCAGGTTAACACGGAGAAGGGCCGCCTGAGCCAGGTTCTAAGGATGAGGAAGAATCGGCCTGGGGGAGGGCATGGGCTGGGAGGACACTCCTGGAAGAAGGGACAGCAAGTATGTTCAGGGAGATATGAGAGTGTCCACTAGTGAATGTCAGTAACCAAAACTATTAAAAAAAAAAAACCTGATATTTAGAGTAGAACAAGCCCCGGAAGGTACAGGGGTTACAGGAGAACAGCAATTGTTATCACCACCAGGAAGAAGGAAACGGGCAGGGGTGGCTTTGAGGGCGAGGTGGCAGGTTAACAAAGCACCATGGGGGCTGTGTGGCAGGAGGCCACACCAGGATTGGAGCCAGGGGCCAGGAACGCAGAGCATGGGAACAGTGACAGCGATGGCTTGATTTAAAGAGAGTGGAAATTGTTGGGGAAAGCGGGCAGGGCCAGACCAAGGGGAGGCTGCAGGGCCTGGCCAGGGCTTGGTGTTTCCCAGGAGTTCAGGGGGAACAAGGTGGACTCTATGAGTGGAGGAAAGAATGGTCAGCTCACAGGAAACCCTTTTTCTCTGGTTCTCCAAAAACCCTGGGTTACCCTAATGAAGAGCCAAGCTTCTGAGGCCTTGCTTGGCAGGGCCAGCAAGTGTCCCCAGCCAAGGGAGCACCAAGGGGAGGAGGAGCAGGGAGGCAAGCAGAGCCCAGGCCCCCACCTGGCTGCAATGGTAGCCACGTTCTCCATCCAGGCCATGATCTGACCCCCAAAGGTATTGCCCTGGTGGTTGGCATGGGGGGGCAGAACCAGCTCCACGCTCTCCACGCGGGTCTTCTCAGCCGGCACCATGCAGCTGCAGTCCCTGCTGTCCAGATCTGGCCAGGGAGGGGACAGGGGGAAAGAGGCAGGGAGGTGAGGAGGCCACCAGGGAAGACGCACCCCTGCAGCCCCGGGATCCCACCCTACCCTGCTGCAGCCACCCAGGATCTTTAATCTGTTAAGCAACAGGGAAATGGGTGCAGGCGTTCCTGGGTGAGAGGTGGAAGGTCACTGAGGTCACTGATATGAGCCTGTCTCAGGGAAGAGACCGGAACACCTGGTCTGAACCCCACACCTCACACAGGCTGTATGACCTTGGGCAAATCAAGGACCCGCATGGACCTCAGCTGCTCCATCTGTGAAGGGCAGGTGTCAACCCACCCCACCGTCTGAAGGTGAACTGTGATGGTGGTTATAAAGGGCTCGGCTCCAGACTCAGTGGATATACCTGAGAAAGAGAAGCTCTTCCCGCCTCTGTCCTGATCATTCCCTGTCCCTTGCAGCCACAGCCTTAGGATGCCCTGAGTAGCAGGGGCCAGAGTGTGAGGGGGGGGGCCTTGGGCTTCTGAGCTTGACACGCCCCTCCCAGCCCAAGGTGGTGCCATTTGTCTCCTGTGTCCTATGGAGAAAGCCCTCTGCAGGGAGGGCCCATAAGAGGAGTGGCATTTCACTGTGCTGACAGGTTCTCCAAAATGCCACCGGCGGGCTGGGGGGCAGGGGGAGCAGGAGCTGAGGATGACCCTGGCCCAGATCTGGAGGTGGGATAGGCAAGGCACTGGCAGGATGCAAAGAGGACTTGCTTAGCTGGAGCTGGAGTGAGTAAAGCGACTGCACCAGATGGGGCTGCAATCAGCCCAAAGGCCCGGATGTCAGACAAAGGCACCTGGACTTGCCCGTGGGGAGAAGGCTGTCAGGACAGGAGGGGTCCAGGAGGCTGAAGTGGGATGGATGGATGTAAGGAGGCCAATGGGAAGAGCTGGGAATCCCAAGCTCAGTGTCCTGCTTTCGCTGGGGTTAGCGACTTCTACCTGCTTTCCCTCTACATGGGCAGCTGAATCACCTTTTATTTGTCCTCAAATCCCTTAAAGACCTTGCACTTGAACATTCTAGAGATTGGGTAAGAAATTCAATGTTGCCTCCAGGCCTTTGCCAGACTATGTGCTCTGTCAGGAACACCTTCCTTCATCTCTCCGAAGAAGGTCTTCTTGTGCCGATGTAGACTGACCTCCAGAGATTTTAGAGACATGGAGTGGGGGGAATCAACACACAGCACAATGTGTCCTACATGTTCCCTTTTTGGTGAAAGCATGGTGCTAAATAATGCACACTATGCTTAAATATGCAGGGAATACTTCTGGAAAGGGATTGAAAACCAGGTAACAGGCTGGGCTCAGGAGGCTGAGACAGGAGGATCGAGAGTTCAAAGCCAGCCTCAGCAACAGCAAGGCGCTCAGCAACTCAGTGAGACCCTGTCTCTAAATAAAATACAAAATAAGGCTGGGGATGTAGCTCAGTGGTTGAGTGACCCTGAGTTCAATCCCTAGTACCAAAAAAAAAAAAAAGATAACATCTAGGCAGAGTGGTGCACACCTATTATTATCCCAGCAACTTGGGGAGACTGAGGCAGGAGGACCACAAGTTCAAGGCCAGCCTCAGCAACTTAGTGAGAGCCTATTTCAAAATAAAAGGGCTGGGGAATATAGCTAAATGGTAGAGCACCCCTGGGTTCAATTTCCAGTGCCTCAAGAAAAAAAAAATGCCTCTGGGAAAGTAGCCTAGGTTTTGGGTTAGGAGGGAGTCTTGGTTTTTTATCTATATCCTTTGGGAGATTAAAAAAAATACACACACACACAGGTGCTTCTTTAAAATCCTACAGTCTTTGAGTCCTAGCTCAACACTACCTTCCTAAACACCTTGGTTCCTAGAGATTCAAAATGCATTTTGTGGCCAACAAAGGGATCTCTATGTATCCTATCACCATATCCATGGCTCTTGGGGACTGGGCTCCCAGGCTCTGGGCTTCTGTGTACTGGGGTCCTGGGCACTGGGTAAGAGGCTCAAGAATTTCCTTTCTCTGGGGGAGCCCAGGAGGCCAAGAAGGCTAGACAGGCCTGAGGCCACAGGGGCAGAAGTCCCTAGGAGGATCCCTTCCTCTCTGCCCAGTGGGGCCCAGCACAGGGCCCACATTTATTGATATGCAGGACATGGGCCGCCATCCCTCTACGTGGGCTGCTCACCTTCCTGGATGGCATAGTTGGCCAGGAGGCCCTTGATGGTGTCTGCATAGACCAGGCGCATGCGCCGGCGCTCAGCTGCCACACTGTGCTCGGTTTTCTCCTCCTCCGTCCGTGGCGTGATCTGCTTCAGCTTCACCTGTTGGCCAGGGCACAGCGGGCAGGTGCTCAGGACAAGGTCTGTCTCCCAGACTACGGCATGCCTGAGGCTGGCACCGACTAGGCTGGGATGCTGGTGGGTCCCGAGCCAGTCTCCTCTCCTGGGGCTCACCTTCCTGCCTCCACCTTGATGTCCCCCCAGCTCCCCTCTTGGGCAAAGTCCCAGGTTATAGAGGGGTCATTGTGAACATGAGGAACGCTGATGAAACTTCTTTGCATGAGACGTGCAGAGAGGGGTGAGGGGAGGAGGAGGAGGTAAGGGTTGGATGGCAATGAGCCTTCCTCCCGGGGCTGTGGCCCGGACCCGCCATGACAGGCAGCACGAAGGCAGGCAGCAGGCACCTACCTTGGTAAGTTCCCTATGGGCCACAAAGGTGGCCAAGGCCTTGCACACATTCCACTGCTTCTCAGAGCACAGATCCTCAGAGGCCACCTGGATGCCCACCTGGAGAGGAAGAGTAGGAGGGAAGAAATAGCCCATCAACTAGAGGCCCTCATCTGGACAAGACAGGAAGAGCCACTCCAAGCTGGGCTTCTGGGATTCCCATAGCCCCCACCAGGCCTAAGCCAGAGGCCTGTGGCTGGTTCTGACTCTGCTCCTGGCTCCCTGGAGAATCTTGGGCAAGTCACTGCTCTTCTCTGAGTCTCAGTTTCCTCATCTGTAGAATGCGAGTGATCAGAGCTACGCTCTCAGGACTACTGAGAAGACTAAAATGAGACTGTGTCCACAAAAGGTAAAATGTTGGCCAAATTCAAAGGATGGACACCTGGGGGTTCCTGGGCAGGACCTGGGCATTTGAAGTGCCCAGGGGCATAGTCAGGGATCTGCTGTCCTAGCTTTGGTGGCTCAGCTGGACGAGGTTGCCTGGGCCTGCAGTCCACAGGGAGGAAGCGGAGTCCCCCACAGAGCACAGGGCCCTGTGCATCACCACACAACACCCCTGACCACCACCCCTGCAACACAGGAACCATGTTCCCATTTTACAGATGAGGAGACAGAGGCCAGGGGAGGTAAGCTAATGGGTGGAAGCCCAGCACTCTTCCACTGTGGCCCCTGTGCCTCTGGGATCAGACACAACAGCTGTCTTCCCTTGATCCCCACAACCACCCAGCTGCCAAAGAGGGCCTGGGCCACACTGTAAACCATGTGGCTCAGTGATCTAAGGCAAGGCCCTTCCCTCTGCCGGGCCTCAGTTTTACTGTCTGTGCTATGGGATGTTGGACAGGAAGCTCTTAGGACCCTCCTATCCCTGCCAAACAGTTCAGAACTCTGCTGCCCCAACCAGGTCTCTGCAGCTAAGTGTGCCTGGGCTGGAGCTAAGAAGAACGGGAAGGAGGAAGGCCCACCCTAACCCCAGGCAGTGCCCACCCACACACCTCCATGCTGGAGTTGAAGGCCCGGTTCACCTTGGCCTTGATATTCACCACTTGTCCAACACTGGGGAGAGGAAAGCAGGAGGTGAGCCTTCCAGAGGGGACAGGGGAGGGAACCACAGTAGCTCTGCTGGGGGAACTGGCAAAAGGGACTTCAGGGATCGCAGGAGGTATTCCCATCTGTGACATCACAGAGTCCTCAAAGCAGGCCGGGGAGGCAGTGTGGGCACCCACTTTGCAGGTAGGCAAGCTGAGGCCAGGAGAAGTGGCCTGGGGTCACTGTCTCCCTCCTTCCCCCAATCCCTTGTTCAGTTAGAGCTGAGCTTCTTTCTACTCTTAGCTCCACGGTTTGCTCTATGGGGCAGCCCTCCCTGTCTTCCAGTCCCCATGAGGGTCATCCTCCAACCCCTCCCAGTGGACTGACTAGCCTCCCACAGCCCTGAAGCTCCACTGCGGAAAGAACCAGTACTTCTGTTTCGTTTGGGCTTGGTTGAAGGAGCAAGCCCTCTACCACCAAGCCACACCCCCAGCCCCAGGGGCCTGTGTTTTGCTCGCCATTGGCTCTCCAAGGCCCGGCACAATGCATAGGGTGGGTCCTCAGTAAATAGAGGCCACCTGAATTGATGAATTCCACATTTACTGAATGCCTACTAAGTGCAAGGGGATATCCAGAGAGGGTGGATAGGGAAATGGAAACATTTAAAGAATGAGTGCCATGTGCCAGGCACTGTGCATTACCTGGTTTGAACCTCAAAAATAAGCCTTGCAGGTAGGTTTGGGAGCAACTGAGCATCAGAGAGGTTAAGCCATTTGTTCAAGATCACGCAGCTAAAAAGTGACAGGGCCAGTATTCTAGGTGATTGTGTTGGCTGCCCAACCCCACTTTTTCCAAATGGAGCCTATCCTTCTGGAATGTTTCCCATGTCCAGGTAAATCCTCAGGGGAGCCACCCAGCCTGCCCTCTGCCTAACTGGAGACAGCAGTGAGAGACCAGCTGGTGGGCTATGGGGGTGAGAGGACAGGAGGCTGGAGAGCTGGCCCTATTCAATCACAGTGTGACTTTGAGAAGTTCTTTTTATCTTTCTGCACCTCGGCTCATGAACATGGAAACACAGTGCTAACTTCAGATTACACTGCCTCCTGCCCAAGCCTGGGACGAGCTCACTCCAAGACACCTGCTGGCCAAGGGCCCACAGTGAGCACAATGAGAGGCTGACTGTCACACTGCCAAGCTATGTGACCTTGGGAAAATCACTTCACCTCTCTGATTCCACTTCCTCGTGTTTGAAGTAGGGGAGTGTGTGCCTACTGCCTGTGCTTCTAAGGGTCAGGAGAGATGAAGAGTGGGCCTGACCGGCCACTGAGCACTGCATGTGCTCAGGTGCTGCATGTTTGACTTCTGTTCATGTTGTCACGTGGGGGAGGGCCATGTTAAGTGACACATGCTAACAAGGTGGGAAATAAAGTGAATAAAGTGGCATGATGTCTGCAACTCATTTCAAATGGCTCAGAACCAAAAAAAAAAAAAAAATTAAGAGAGAGAAAGAGAGAAAATGTTTTATGTTTTATTTATCCATGTCTAGTTAAAGCAAATGTAGCAAATGTTAAGTAATGGATCTCGTAATGGTGACCATTTCACTACTCAGATTTCTACATGTTTGGAAGTTTTCATGATCAAAAATTAGAAAAGAGGTGGGGATACAGCTCAGTTGGTAGAGTGCTTGCCTAGCATGTACAAGGCCCTGGGTTCAATCCCACATGCCCTCACCCCCCCAAAAAAAAGAAAGAAAAAGAAAAAAATTCAATTTCCTCTGGTCCCCAAAGTACAGCAGTTCCCCTCATGTCCACAGCTTGATATCTACAGTCAACTGCACTCTAAAAATGGTAAATGGAAAATTCCAGATGTTATTATTATTAATAACTTTTATTAAAGTATATTTTTATAATAGTTCTATTTTATTATTAGCTATTGTGGTTAATATCTTACTGTGGCTAACTTATGAACTAAACTTTATCATATGTGTGTATAGAAAAAAACACAGTTTACAAAGGGTTTGGTACTGGCCACTGTTCCAGGCATCCACAGGGGCTCTTGGAACATATTCCCACAGATAAGGCAGGGCTGCTGTAAGAAAAAAAAGTCTGGGGCTGGGGCTGGGGCTCAGCAGTAGAGCGCTCACCTAGCAGGTGCGAGGCCCTTGGTTCGATCCTCAGCAGCACATAAGAAGAAGTAAATAAAATAAAGGTATTGTGTCCAACTACAACTAAAAAAAAATATTTTTTTTTTAAAAAGTCTGTTTTCTGTGTAAGAGGACTGGGGATGTAGCTCAGTGTAGAGGACTTGCCTAACATTCATGAGATGCATCTCATGAATCTCACAGGCACCAGGATAATTGTACTCAAAGAAAGAGATTTGTGATTCTCTCCACTCCGCCCTGTCCTCCTCCCCAGCTCACCCAAAGCCAAGCAGATGCCACTTAGACTTTGGAGCTTGTTTTCCTCCCAACTATCCTGTATCCCAGCACTCAGACCACGCTGGCTCCTTCAGGGGCCCCCACAAGCCTCCAGCTCCCTGACACCCTCCAGGTAGTCTTCACAATGCTGAAGGGTGGCTCCCCATAAACTAACCTGAACCCTGTAAGCCCTTCTGCAAGACCAATTACTCTCAGCAGACAGAGGAAAATGTTAAAGTATATATTCCATGGTGATGCTAACAGCAAAACCCAGAAAACGGAGAACTCTAGGGGGAAAATACCAGGTTCCTCAACAAACAAATGTCAAGGGAAAAAAACAGAGAGAGGGATGGAGAGAGGAGAATCACAATTCAAGGCCAGACTCAACAACTTAAGGAGGCCCGGTGTTAGGGATGAGCAAGTATTATCTAAAGATGTTTTTAAAAAGTGATCAGGTGTGCTACTCAGGAGGCAGGAAGATTGCAGGTTCAAAGCCAACCTCAGCAACTTATTAAGACTGTTTCAAAATAAAATTTGAAAAAAAGATGGAGATGTAGCTCAGTGGCAGAACGTTCAAGGCCCTAGGTTCAATCCTTAATACTGAAAAAGAAAAGAAACGGGGCGGGGGGGGGCGTGAAATAACTTGGACTGGGGCTTAGCTTACCAGTAGAGCACTTGCCTAGCATGTGTGAGGCACTGTGTTCGATTCTCAGCACCACATAAAAATAAATTAATTAAAGTATTTTTAAAAACTTATACATAGCAACTGGTTGACTTGCAAACTTATTTGCATTCTGACTTGAATGACAAAAATAAAGATAAAGCAAAAAAAAATTAAAACAAGGTGGGGCTGGGGATACAGCTCAGTTGCTAGAGTGCTTGCCTCGCATGCACAAACAAGGCCCTAGGTTCAATCCCCAGCACCACCAAATAAATAAATAAATAAACAAACTCCTGAGACAGTGCGGGCATCTGAATACTGACAACATTGATTTTAGTGGGATATTACTGTTAATTTTTTTAGGTGTTGAAGTTATGTTTTAAAAGAATACTTAGTCCTTAGAGCTACATTTGGAAATATTTTTAAATGGCAAAAGCAGAAACAAACCAAAACCTTCTCCAGCTTTCCTCAGGTGTATCCACGCCTTTCCAGGCCACCAGCAATGCTCCAGACCCCTCCCCTAGTCCTTCCCCACTTTCCCTGCCACCCACAACCCCCTCCACCAGACTCACCTTCACTGGTTGGGCCCATAGCAAATCCATCCTTTGTGCTCTCTACCCCCAGCCCCTCCAGAGAAGACAACCTATATCAGCAGCAGGGACCCAGAGTAGGCCAGACATGGTCACAGGCCTCCAAAGCATTGCTCTATACAGAGCTGACAGTACTGCAGCCAGCTCAGACCTCCTCCAGGAAGACCCCTTGACTACCCTCCATGGCACCACCCTCACCCACAGACATGGGAAATGTAGCCCATTGGTTGGAACAGGGACTTGGGTCAGACCAGCAGCCTGGTAGTATTTCCTGGGTCTTCCACCAGCTGTATAACCTTAAACAAGTTACCTTACTTCCCTGTGCCTTAGTTTCCTCCTTTGAAAAATGAGGGTACTAATAGCCATGACCTCATAGTGTTGTTCTGAGGATTAAATAAATTATCATATTAAAAAGGCATGCCAAGCTGGACACAGTGCCTATAATCCCACTAACTCAGGAGGCTAAGGCAGGAGAATCACAATTCAAGGCCAGACTCAACAACTTAAGGAGGCCCTAAGCAACTTATTGAGACCCTTCCTCAAAATAAAAAATAAAAAGGGATGGGGATGTGGCTCTGTAGTTAAGTGCCCCGGGTTCAATTCCTGGTACAAAAAAAAAAAAAAAGGCATTCCAAATAAGGTATTGATGATATGGGTTCATTAATTATGACAAAGGTGCCCTATAAATATGTTAATAATCAGGGAACTGGGTGTGGGATATATAGGAGTTCTGTACTATATTCAGAGATATAACCTTATGGTAAATGTAAAACTATTTTGAAATTTAAAGTATATTGAAATGTATGACAAGCATCTAAATATCAAAATTCACATTATTAGTGTGGAACTTTCTATTTTTCACAATGTCTTTGTGGAGCTGGGGCTCAAACCCAGGGCCCTGTGCACAATGGGCACATGGTCTGCCACTGAGCTCCACACCCACTTGGAATGGAAATTGTTCCTGCATCTGCCTCCCCTGCAGTCTGGGAGCTCCTGGGAACAGAGATCATGCTCTAATGGACACTGTGTCCCCAAACCCAGCATGGCCCCAGTCCAACTAACATTAAGTATGTAGTGAATGACTAATGAGCACTGGGATGGCCAAACGTCTCCTTAACTGGGACACACAGGGCACCAGGCAGTCCCAAATAAGCCCTTGGCACTTGGCACTTGACTCCCTAGGTACTGATGGCAAGCTAGGAACGGGCTGGAGACAGAGCTGTGCGGGCAGCCCCTGCAGCCTGTCCCAGTGGAGGACTCAGCATGCTTCTGGAGTCCCAGAAGCAGGCAGGGACCAACAGGCAATGTCAAGCTCAGCTCGATGTAACCAGGACAGTCATTAGAAAGAGAAAAAGGTCTCCCTCGGGTAATGAGCACCTTATCAACCTGGGTGTGTGTGAACACAGGGAGATGGGCGAAGTTTCAAGCTCAGGCTTTGCCAAGGAAGTTTGCCTAGGGGCCTCCCTACAGTGCAGTAACCAGTGACCACAGACAATTTCCAAGCTCAGAAAGGCATTCACTGGTCAAGCCTAATGCCTTCGATGTTCTGATAAGAAAACCAAGGCCCAGAGGGAAAGACTGACCTCCCCAGAATGACATAGTCCTTGAAGGACCACAATGACATCTCAGCAACGCCCAACTCCAAACCACTTCCTGAGCCCCACCCTGGCAGAGGGACCCAGCCCACTGCTGCCCAGAGACCCAGCAGACAGGTCCTTGCCCCCAGAAGCTGCCCTTCTTCCATATTCAAAAGCCTGATAGACTCCAGGCAGGGTCATGGGGGAGTGGCCATGGGTTTGTGGCAGGGAGACTGGAAGGACCTTGAAGCAGGAGCTGCTTACCTGATGGTGTGCTCAAAATAGATATCGTCCATGGAGGCTGTGACACAGGGGCAGCCAGCGTGCCTCTCCGCTGGCGTCAGAAGAAGAAAGCCAGATGTTAACAGGCTTCCCACGTCACTGGCCTCTGATCAAATGTCACCTCTCCCCAAGAGGCTTCTCCATCTGCCCAAGCCGAGGCCACCCCAGCCTTCTCCCAGTCCCTTCCCACCATTACCACATTTTAACCCTATTTTATAAATCTGGTTCCCTGTGTCTAGTGACCTGCTAGACTGGGAAGTACCTGAGGGCAAGGATTTCTACCTGTCCTGCTCATCGTTGCACGAGGCTCCCAGAGCAGAACCCAGCATAGATTCTCAGGCCAGCAGCTGCTGGATGAATGGGTGATCATGCCACACTGTCTAGCCTGACTTCCTGAGCACCCACACCTCACCCACCTGTTCCCTTCCCTGAGCCTTCTCACCCTCAAGACTTGCTCACCTGCCTGGCATGTGTAAGGCACTAGGTTCAATCCTTGGAACCACATCAAAATAAATTAAACAAAGACCTGTTCAGGTGCCCTAACCCCTCAGAAACCCCTCCCTGTCCCCAGAGCTGGGTCAGGGTCTCTCAAACAGGCAGTGGGGTCCTCCTGCATGCCCCCCCCCAACTGCTCCACCAGGCTGGGAGCTCCCAGTGGGCTGGAGACACCATCACAGCAAAGAGAATGAAGCAAGCTCTGCAGCTCCACTCAACATAGGGACCACCATCAGCAGCCTGTCGCCATCGGTGCTCAGGGCATTTTCAAACCTGTGGTGAAGCAGCCCTGTATATGGCTGCACTGGGTGGAAGCAGGGACCTCAGGGCACGACACCAGTACCCAGGGCTGTGGGCCCTGGGGGAGTGGGAGGGCTGCCCTGAGCACTGGGAAACCAGGAGAGCACTTCAGGCACATGGACCAGCATGGGCAAAGGAGACACTCAGGGGACAGTAACCATCTCTGAATAGAGGCCCCTGCTCTGGGTCTGTGGGGCCTGTGGCTGGAGATGGCCAGGCCAAACGCAGCCTCACCGGACAGACAGGCCATGGTGTCGATCCACTTGAGCAGCTGCCCGACGCTCAGTTCCCCACGATGGTTGGTGTGGCAGGGCAGCACCAGCTGGCTCATCTGCACCTCCGTGGGGTTCCGGTATCCCTCACCCTCTGCCATGTCGTCGTCGTCTCCAGCACGTGAGACTGACTTGCGGGACGTGCGGCTGGAGAACACAGAGGCGAGGCCCTGGAGAACACGGAGGCAGAGAGATCAGCTCTCCCCAGGGTTCTTGGGTCTGCCAAGCCCTGAGACCTTATGGCCCCAGGGAGAGGAGAAGCAGCCCATGGCCACCTCCCACCAGCCCCACCAGGAGAGAGGGGAGAACCCTCCAGCCCATGGTCTCAGACCCCAAAGGCTCCTTGGAAGCCACCTGTGCTGTTTCCTTTTGGCCAACAAATCTGAGCTAACACAACTTTGGACCTGAGAAAGGGGGAGAGAAGAAGAATATAGATACTTCACTTCCTCACTTCTGCCTGTGGGATAACTTTTGAAAAGTTTTGCTTTTTTTGGTGCGAGAAATTGACCCAGGAGCACTTAACCACTGAGCCACATCCCCAGCTGTTTTTATTTTTTATTTTGAGACAGGGCCTCCCTAAGTTGCTTAGGACCTTGCTAAATTGCTAAGGCTAGCTTTGAACTTGTGATCTTCCTGTCTCAGCCTCCCGAGCTGCGGGGATTATAGGCATGGGCCTTGGCACCAGCCTAAGAAAGAAAATTCTTATACATGCTTCACAATGGATGAACCTGGAAGACACGCTAGTCACAAAGGGACAAATACTGTGATTTCATTCACAGGAGGTCCGTAGAGTAGTCAAATTCAGAGAGACAAAAGAATGACAGCAGTCAGGCGTGTTGTCACACACCTATAGTTCTAGCAACTTGGGACGCTGATGCAGGGTGATTGCAAGTTCAAGGCAAGCCTGGGCAACTTAGTGAGACTATTTCAAAATAAAAAGGGCTGGGAATGTAGCTCAGTGGTAGAGCACCCCGAGTTCCATCCCTAGTACTGTAAAAAGAAAGAAGAAAGAGGGAAGGAAGGAACAAAAGAATGAAGGGCGGACAGTGGTTACCAGGGGCTAGGGAGGAAGAAATAGGGAGTTACTGTTTATTAAGTATAGAGTTTCAGTTTGGGAAGTTGAAAAAGATCTAGAGACGGTTAGTAAGAATAGTTGCCTGATTGAAAATGTGCTTAATGCCTCTAAACTGTACACTTAAAAATATTTAAAACGGCCGGGTACGGTGGCACATGCCTGTAATCTCAGTGGCTCAGGAGGCTGAGACAGGAGGACTGTGAGTTCAAAACCAGCCTCAGCAACAACAAGACGCTAAACAACTCAGTGAGACCCTGTCTCTAAATAAAATACAAAATAGAGCTAGGGATGTGGTTCAGTGATTGAGTGCCCCTGAGTTCAATCCCTGGTACCAAAAAAAATTAGGGGCTGGGGTTGTGGCATGTGTGAGGCCCTGGGTTCGGTCCTCGACACCACATAAAGATAAATAAATAAAGGTATTATGTCCATCTACAACTAAAAAATATATCATATATATATATATATATTTTAATGGTACATTTTAAAAATGTAAATAATGCAAACACTCCAATTAAAAGGAGGTCAATAAAGCAAGAACCAATAATGAAGAAAAAGAAAAGGGAGAGAGGGAGGGAGGGGACTGACCACTCTATGCAGGGAGGCCTAGGGAGCTAGTGAACCTGCAGTAGTCCAACTGAAAATTGTTCCCATAAAAGTGCTTCAGGAAGCAGCTCTGATTTCGTCCCCACAGGCCCTTTCTTGAGCTCCTGGGCTCTTCAGTTGGCATCAGGAGCCTCCAGTGGGTGCTAATGCCTTCCGGCACTCGGATCTACTGACTGGGAGGGCTCTGGGCAGTCACTGAGCAGCTGTCTGATCCAGGGCAGGACCGCAGCAGCTGCCAACTGGAGAATAAGGAGGGAAGGTCTTCAAATGCACTCAGGAGAGATGGAGTCTCAAGCTTGAAGCCCATCCTGTCTTACTCTCCAGGCAGGACAGGGGGCCATGCCCATCAGCCCCTCTGATGGGGGCTAGGGAGGCAACCTGCTGTCCCTTCTCTCTGGGATACCCTCCTGGTCAGTCTGTGAACTCAGGATCTGGGCAACCCTGTGTGTGAGAAAAATGAGAGGCAGGCACGTGGTGCCAATTGTCACAGCCAATGCCAACTCTAGGGGAGTGACAACAGTCACAGCTAACATTTATATGGTATTTAAGTGTCCACATAGTCTGCCTTAGCAGATTATTTTACGTGTATTAATTCAATTTTACGTGTATTAATTCAATTCCATTTGTACAACAAACCTGTGGGACAGGTACGTTATTATCCTCATCTTAGAGATAAGGAAACTGAGGGTCAAGGAAATAGCAGAGCCTGGCTCCCATCCCTGAGATCTGGAGCGGTCTGAGCTCCTTCCCACCACACCAAGACCCTTGCAAGGTTTCCTAGGCCAAGATGAGGAGTCAGGGTCCTGGGCCTCGGATATAGCAGCAAAAAGTGTCCTGATCAGATGGCGGGCCCCTAAGCTGCAGGAGGGAGCAGTGCTGGCTCCTGTGTTGGGGGTCTGTGTGTCCCGGATAAGTCCCCCCACAGGCAACCCTAAGCTAATTCCATAAATTCAAAACCTACCAACATGACTTGTTCAAGCCACGTTGAACATGACTTTGACCCCTCAAGTGATAGAACCAGGATTTGAACCAGGCCTGTCTGACCCAGAACTGCTCGTGGTTCCCAGAGATGCAGCTCATTCCCAAGAGCCACTGGGTAGTAAGCACAGGGCTGGGAAAAAAGAGAGCCACAGCCCTGAGACCTCTCAGCCTGGGCGGAGGCCCATGGAGTGCCAGGCTGACCAGCTTTCTAGTCCTCACAGTTGGCTTGAAGGCACTGTGGTCCACGCAGCAGGACCCGTTGCCATGGTAACCATTGCCAAGGCATCTCCAGTCTGGCCATGCACTGGAAGCCTACATGGATGCGAGTAGCTGGCTTTCTGGGAGCAGGGGCAGGGAGAGAGGGAGGAGGCAGGCAGGGTCCATTTACCCACACTCTTTCCAAACCCCTCTCACTGCCAGGTGTTCTGGGAAGAACAGTCCAGAAAGAAGCCCGGAGAGAACTGAGGAAATGTGGAAGGCAAGAGGCAGAGGACTGGTGGGCAGAATAAAGGGAGTCAACCATCTGAGGTTCCTAGGCAGTCTGGACAGGCACAGAGGGAAGCCCCACACAGGGCCCTGCTCTATCCCACCCACCGCCTCGCCCGGCCCTCACAAGGCAGGCAGAAAGCCAGGACTGTCAACCCATCTTACAGATGAGGAAACTGAAGCTGGACAAAGCCCTGGGCCAGGAGTCAGACTGCTGAACTCCAGTTTTCTCCCTACTTCTCAGCGGAGTGGTCCCTATCCCTGACTGTCCTGCTTCCTGTTCTGTGAAACAGGAACCCTGCCTTCCACTAGACTCTGCTGCATAGAGACAGGATCTTTGCCTCATTCATTCATTCACCAAGCACCTTCTCTGTCCTGGACCCTGGGCCAAGCACCACGAATACAATGACAACTTGAGCCTAGAGGGGCCTAGCACACAGTAGGACCTCATTAGAGGTTTTCAGAAGGACAACCAGAGACAGACTTAAGTGCAAACTCTAGCCTGTCCCTCAGGCACTATGAGATCATGAGCAAGGCCCCTTTCTTCCTGAGTCACGCCTGCCCTCCCCAGCAAAGAAGAGAACTGTCACTCCCTAAGGTACATAGCACTGGCTCCAGGATTCTAGGGTCTAAGCCCGCCTGGGGCCTGGCACACTCAGTGGGATTCCCAATCAGGAAGCTGCAGAGCACCGTCACCCCTTCAAACAGAAACACTACGCTCCTCCAATCAGAGCTGAGCCCTCCACCCTGAAGCAAGCTGAGGACCTCATTGCTGCTGACATGAGACTCCTCTCACAGGAGGGGTGCAGAGATGGGGTGAGAGCAAAGGAGGTGGGGACAGAGCAGCCCAGGCGGCCCCAGGCACAGTCTCTCAGACCCCCACCTCCTCCCTTGGGCTCTGAGGCAGTCTGCCCACATGGGGCAGGCCAGGCCTCCCTCTCAGGTGGGCAGCCAGCCAGCCCGGGAAGCAGGGGTGTGTGCAGCCAGGCACGGTTTAGCCAATGGGACCCCAGACTGGAGCCACTCCTCTCCAGAGAGCAGAGGCCCTGGCTGGAGTCAGGACCTGGAATAGCCAGGCAGGCCAGGCCAACGCAGCAGACAGGGCCCAGCTGCTGTGAAGGGGAGGGCACTCAGAGGTCAGAGATGTGCCCTCTCCGATAGTAGCCATGCCAAGCGCTGGCCCCAGGCCATAGCCGACCTGGCCAGATTTGATGATCCTAGAGTAGGCCCTGGCTAGTCACACCGTGGGCTCTGTGTCTCTCCTCCTGATCAGTCACATCACAGACCTGTTGAGTCAGAGCAGGAGAGACCACCTTGCTCAGCTGGGGGGACTAAGGCATGGAGGGAAAGACTAGTCCAGTGTCACCCAGCTGAAAGGGCAGAGACTGGCCCTCCTGGGCCTGCTGGGCAATTCGACAACAGGCTTAACCGTGATTTCCTCTCTCCCCGGAGTGTCTAAGTCCCAATAATTTCACCTTCTTAAACACTCAGCCTCCCTGTGTCCTGACTAGTCCCACAGCCTGTCCACAGGCTCCAGCCACCCCATCTCCCTCCAGCCTCTACACAGCACCAGGGGGATCTGTCCCCAAAGAAGACCCAGAGACTCGACCAAGGCTACTTACTATGACCTGCCTTGCAGGAAGATCTGGTCAAATCCTCAGAACTCCTACAACGGACTTCACGCTTCCCTCTGACCTTAGGACCACAATGACCTTTCTCTTTTTTTTTTTTTTTGTTTTTTTTTTGGTACCAGGGATTGAACCCGGGCCACTGAGCCACATCCCCAGCCCTTTTTATTTATTTATTTATTTATTTACTTATTTATTGAGACAGCGTCTCTCGAAGTTGCTTAGGGCTGCCTAAGGCTGGCCTTGAATTTGCAATCCTCCTGCCTCAGCCTCCTGAGCTGCTGGGATTGCAGGAGTGCAACCCTGTGCTCAGCTTACAATGACCTTTTTAAAGAACAGTTCTCACCAGGCACTACCTGCTCAAGACTCTTTGATGGCTCCCATGGTTGTCAGGAGC